AAATCTTTTGAGCTGGCCAAACGCAATTCGTCGCTCATCCTCACCTGCAGAACATAAATTGGTATATAGCTTAGGTGATTGCATAAACTATGCAAACTTGAAACTATTGTGATTAACACAGTGCCTGATTGATGAAGGTGTAGGGTCATGTATTCTGATTAGGAAATTATCATTTTCAATGACTGAAACACGAGCCTGCTGTATATTAATAATCAAGTACCAATGTGCTTACTGTCTTGGTCTTTGGGAGCTCTAAAGTTTATGAAGTTTTTAAAGAGATAACAGTTTTGCTAAGCCATTATTAAGACTATTACTTCACTACTGTGAAAGACTAAAAGCAAGGCATCAACTACAAGGGCATGGAACCTGCTACATCCACAAAAACTTCCCGCAGGTGGCTTTTCCTCCTTGCATTACAGATTAGAAACAGAGCTCCCACAATAAGAAGCCCTAAAATTCCACCAACTGTTCCAAGTATTAAGCCAATTTTTGAGCTATGGGATCCACCTGTAAGATGATAATTATGGAATTAGCAATCTCATAAAATACAAGGAAACCATCTATACTACAAAACTACTATGCATTGGTAAAATAATAAATACAGTAGTCAGAATGCAACTTACTCTGATAGGACATGCTGGATGCACAAGAATGCGGGAAGTTGGGTCCACAGTTTAAGTGATTACCAGAAAAGCTGGTCATGGAAAAAGAGAATTTTACATTCACTCAGGATTAGGAAAAAATCATAGAATGAAAGAAAAAAATTAAGAGCAAGCTTCATATACTTGTAACGTGCTACTTGAAACAGCGAACCAGGTATCTGACCGGACAAATTATTATATGCCAGGCGGCTGTAATCAAAATGTTTTTTTGTCAACACAGCACGACAAGAACATTTAAATGAACTTGAGTTATAAGAAACTGAAAAGGGTATCATACTCCGTCTTACATGTCTGTCAAGCTTGAAATGTTCGCTATGCTACCAGGAATTGACCCATTGAAATTATTTTGACTCAGTATTCTGGTTATGAGAGAGGAAGATTACATGAAAAGGTCACATAAAACTCTATTTCTTTTCTCGAATACGTAGGACATATAACTCTATTTATAAGAAGGGAACTCTGATTTTAAAATACTTACAACAGCTGTAGCTTAGAAAGGTTGCCAAGAGAAGCTGGTACTTCTCCAACTAAAAGATTGTCCCCCAAATCTAAGCTTGTCAAGCTAGATAGATTACCAAACTCCTCTGGTATGGTACCGGTAATACTGTTACCAGCCAATGACCTGCAAAATCATATGCTATACAGTTTCATAGTAGTCCGAGTAGTATCAGGAAATTAAATTGCACCAAGCTTGAACAGTAGTTCATGTATGACACATATCTAACGGTAATAACCAGAACTAGTACCAATTTCTCTGGAATAGAATATGTTAGCATACGTGACACTGGTACAATCCATATCATCCTAGTTTACTTGCACAGATAGCTAGCCCACTATGATCTTGTTTCAGTAACATATCAGTTTGCCCCAAAACATGAAGAGAAGCAGACATGTCTATCCACAGAAGCAACAGAGTCATAGAACAGTAAGATTCAATAGAGAAACTGATTCCTAATTTCTCAAACATGCCAAGGTGTCTGGACTGGATTCATTATAATTTTATTGCATGTACTCATTCTATAAATTTCTTACTTTGAATAACATGATGTAATTCTCCGGAAAAATGAATTAACTATTGCTATAGTGTAATAAATGTACACCATTCCTTTTGATGTTTATAAAAGTGATTATGTCAAAAGTATATATAATCTACAGAATAATACATCATACTCACAGGACACTCAAATATTGGAGTTCTCCAATTCTTGGTGACAAAACGCCAGTGAATCCTCGTACAGCCAAAGTTCTACAAGAGAGCATAAAGATTAGTCAAAAAACACACAAGATCAGAATAGAGGGGAACATAAGCACTCCAACGACATCAGAATATAATGAAAGCAAACAAAGAAAGAAGGTACATGGGCTCCCACTTACACTTGAATAACATTGTTGCTATTGTCACAAATAACAGAATTCCATGTGCAAGGGTTAACTTGATTTTGGTTCCAATCTGAAAGCTGACCGCCAGTAACGTTCAGTTTTTGTTTCATATCATATAAAGCATCTCCTGCAAAACATAGTCAGTCATTCAGTATTGATAAGGTACTTGAGTTTTGTAAACAAGAGATCCAATTGGCCATTGAGGATTACATTTTCCTCTTTTCTTTAAATGCCTACATTATCCCTGAAGAATCTAAACTAACTTTGTTTCTCCATGTCAACCAAACCTTAAACATTGAGGGATACATACACACAGACAGAAAAAGAAGATGGCATTGGTAGTTTGGTGTATCAAGAGAGTCATGTCGACAGTTATACCTATCCTCAAGGTTTCTCCCAGATACAAGTCCATACACTAGTGTTTTAATGTGAACACTGCCATATATATAGACCACCACAGTTATATGACTTAGTTGGAATCTTTTCTCAGGTAACATTAATGATCATGCTGCTGTGCTTTTTATGAAATCATTGTACACCCATATTAAATGCTATGATGAGCTAATTGCAGTTGCAGAAACATGTGGTATCATTATTATCAAGTATCTAAGTTTAAGCAAATCCATCTTTCCCGGGTACCACTAGCAATGTAAGTCAAAAAAAAAAAAGATACTACTAGCAATGTCAATACATAAATATTTCAACCGCCGTTTCGATAATCAGACAGCTGGCCTATCAAGGTGGCACCTTTGCGCTAGGCGACAATCTCTTACAAAGCACAAGCGCCAAATTGCCCGCCTAGCAGCAGCATTGCCTGCCCAACTGCTACCTAGGTGCTCGGCGCCCAACTAGTACCTACCGCTTTCTAAAACACTGATTAGAACACAGCAACAGTTTAACAATACAACTAAATTCCCATTTGTTCAGCTAACAGGTACCCAAAACACACTCATGCGGACGCATGGAGGCAAGCAACGGCTGTGAGCGTCACCTTGCAGGAACGATAGGGCAGTGCGGTAGTACCTTGGCGATCGGATGCAGAGAAGCACGGCAAGGATACCACCAGAACCAATACAACGAAGCGCAGCTCCCTCATCTTGTTTACATCACACTCCGGCAGCGCGTTCAGGAGAAGAGAGCGTCGAGTTGGGCAAGGCGGCGGAGGTCGGGATCGCGGAGGGGGCGGCCGCGGATTCGAGAGTTTCGGTGGGCGGATTGGGATGAGCAGGCAGAAAGAAAGTGTGAAAGCGGAGCAAGAACCACGAGCACTTCTCCTTTCTTTTTGTTTTCGTTTTCCTTATTTTCTTTTTGAGATGGGGATTATTCGGATTCGTTGGCCGAACATGAACGGGAGAATGGCCGAATGGGCCGGCCTGCAGTGTGTGCCTCCATCCTAGCAGTCGCCGCCCGCCCAGTCCGAGCCCCATCCCGTTCCTCACTCGCGCTGCCACCCGCACGCACTCGAGGCTCGCGCAGGCAAGGCGCCGCCGGCGACGAGCCTCCGTGGAAGCCGACGGCCCTACCGGCGAGGCGGCGAGTTCTTCTTCCTTCTCCACCGACGGGACAGCGCGTGGATCCGGCGACCTCTGGGCTCCGGCGAGGCGGCGATGGCGAGTGGACTGTGGTGATCGCTGATAGGTGAGTTTATTTGCCTTCTGTCTCAGCCCTTCCTTAGTAGTTTATTCGACTTCAATTTTCTATCAATGAATTTTGAGTGCAGCCAGGGGTCCACGTCGACCCATGTGTCCTGGGCCTGCCCTCCGACCCCAGGCCTCCCGCCTCCTTCGTCGGTAAGCTTCGGTATCTCACGAGATTTTTTACTTTCTGCCGTCCACGGATGGCACTTCTTCGTCAGCCTTGTGCTTGCAAACCCTCCTAAGTTTTTATCATTTGGTTGAAGTGGCATGTCAGATGAACACATCAGCGTGGTAGGAAGCCTGGGGCTCTAACTTGGCACGTGAAATGACCAGCGATACCATCGGTTGGAGGATGTTTTGGATAGGTAAAAAGCCTTTGTGTATCTCAGGTTGGAGCGGTCTTTAGTAGTCCGACTTTAATTTTCTAGTCAAATACAATCCACTCTCCATTCTTCTTCTGTGCCTCCCGCCTCCTTCATCGGTAAGCTTCGGTATCTCACGAGATTTTTAACTTTCTGCCGTTTTTATCATTTCGTTGAAGTGGCATGTTAGATGGACACATCAACGTGGTAGGGAGCTTAGGAGCTCTAACTTAGCACGTGAAATGACCACACTACCTCGCCTTCTTCACATCTCTTCCTCCTCGCACCTATTCATTCTTTTTCCCAATGACGATGACGCGATGACTAATCTCGTCCCCGTGCACCCATGGCTCGGAGGACGGAGCCCTCTTCGTCAAGGAGCATGACATAACAAGTCCATACCGACACATGAGAGCCATATATAACAGGTCCCATACTGGCAATGACAGGCATACATAACTGGTTCATCCCATACATAACATGTCCATGACAACCATACATAATTGGTTATAGGAGTTTATGTCTCCAAACTACATACATAAGAACAACCATTCAAGCAGTAGTTATGTCTTAGTTCATAGCCGTTGTTGGTGTTGCCTTCTTCACCTTAGTAGCTAGCTATTTCTTTCTTGGGGTCATTTTTTTGCTGGTTGCACTGCTGCAACTTTATCTGCTGGTACTATCTCCAATGGTACTATCTCCAGGAGAAGGAGACTCGATGCCGCCGCCGCCGTCGCGTCCGCCCGTCGTCGCCGTCACCAAGAGTGGGGAAGAAGGGGGAGTGGACTGGGTTTGACTTAGGGCTGGACCAACCGGAGACAGAAGAAAGAGGCGAGGACAGCGTGGTCATTTCACGTGCCAAGTTAGGGCTTAAAAAAACACTAGGAGAGTTACTGTGGCCTGACGGCCGCCGCGCCTCCCCTTCGAAACCCTCCGACGACCGGTTCCGCTCCGCTCAAATGGAGCCGCCGCCTATCCCTCATCCTCCACCGCCACCTCCTGCTCTCACGTCCGCCCTCGCCCACCTACGCTCCGTCCTCTCCGCCGCATCCTCTGCCCTCGCCGCTCTACCCTCCCCTCTCCAACCTCACCCAACCACCCCCATCGCCAGTATCCCCTCACCTCAGTCTACCACCACAAAACCTCCACTCCCGCCGCCGGTCACCGCTATCAACCTCCCGCTCCCGGCCGCCCCAGCTCCCTACTCCGATTGCCCCGCCGTCGTCCGTATGAGTCCCGTCCCAACCTCCGCAGCCACCTCCCTTTCCGCCTTCCTCGCTGGAGTGTGCGCAGATTTCTCCTCTTCCACTACCGGCCGGAGCCCCTCCCATCCGCCCCGCATCCTGCCGTCGGAGCTCAGCCTCCTGCAACGGGAGTTGGACTCCTGGGTTGCGGGGGGCCACCACCTCCCGGGATCATACTCCTATGCTGTAACCCGGGTAGTGGCCACGTTCTGCTTGGGTGTAACGCCACGGTGGGAGGCCGAGCTGCGGCAGTGGGTGCTTGAGAGCTCACCAAGGTACGGGGTCAAGGTCAACGTCACGGATGCGGACCATATCTTGGTGCTACTGTGGCTCTTGCTGAAGGCGATGGCAGTGGAGGCCAGGTACTTGCTGGTGGGGATGCAGAATGGCGATAACGAGGGGCTAGGCTTTGATCCCAGGGCCATGAGGTTTGAGTGCCCGAGGCTGGTCGAGGGCCTCTCATGGTTAGGCGCACAGCTTGGGGTTCTGTATGGAGAAAGCAATGGGAAACTATTTGCGCTTGTATCTGTGAAGGAGGCAGTGCTACAGATGGCGTATGGCTTGGCTGTTTGTGTAGGAGATGGTGCTGCAGGTGTAGGAGAGGACAAGGTTGGAGCTGGTGAGAAAGGAAGTGATGCTGGAGATGTCGTGGCACGCCCTGTTTTTCTTTCCCAGGTTGCTGCTTCCATTGTGGCATTGTATGAGAGGTTCTACTTGGAGGAGAAGACCAAGGCGCTGCAAGCTCAACGCTTGTCAAAATATCAGCTGTATGCTTTGTTAAAATTTTATGATGTACTTATTTTTGCATGGCATATTATCATCGTAATTTCTTAATGCTAATAATTATACAAGAAAGGTTGACAGAGCATACATAGTTCCTAATGCTGAGAGAGGAAGTTGTTTACGAAAGGAGGGAGTAGTTCCTAATGCTAAGAGAGGAATTTGTTTACGAAAGGAGGGAGTTATCATTAAACGTCAACTTCGACACCAAAGCAATTTTTGGAGCAGAGATGCAATATCACTAGTTCTGCTTGTATTTGCATACACTCCTTTAGTTGACCGATGTTTTATTCAATTTGTCTGGCCTACACAGTTGAGATATATAATATCTTATTGTGTAATGATGCAAATCAGTCCATGTAGAGGACATAAAACTACCATCATCTTATTGTGTAGTGATGGCAAGCAGTCCATAATAGAGGACATATATATTTAGTTTCCTGTGTTCTGCACTGATATATTTTGTTGCTTCAATTTGAGTAGATACATATATAAATACAATGCAAAAAAAGAAAACATATACATACAATTCACACTTTATAACTACACTTCATATGCTGTATCCATAGCACAATGTTAATATCTTATTCTTCTCCATGGAGGAAGGGAATGCACTACATTTCATTTTTTAGCATAACTGCATATTCACATTCACATAAAACGTAGTATCATAGTCAGCAAGTGATGCTTAAAAAACCTTGATATACATGCTTACCAAATGGCCAGATACTATGCAGCTTCTATGTACAAGTCTCTAAGCCGCAGTTAATGGATCCCCTTGCCACGGTGGAAGGAGCATGGATGCCTGCAAGCTAAATCGGCACTGGACCTGGCGTCCAAAGCTTTGATCGAATGTCTCATGTGAATTGTAGAGTTAGGTACTTGTAGTAGGCAAGTAAAATATAGCTAGAGTATGCTGTGCAGGTATTGGATGGATGAGTGCCTAAACAATCTCCTAGATTTATCAAAATGTTCCCATTGTAGACTGGGATTCTTGATAGATTGGTGATGTAGCAGTTTCTCTCTTTCTTTAAGCATCTCTACAAGCACTTTTTGTATTGTACATGCCCTAAGGATATCAGATTGTTGATCATGTATAAGCAGCATGTTGCACACCATTTCATATGCAAATAAAGCTTAATCTCTGTTGATGATAACAATTCGTGGATGTTTTGTTTTCTGTTCAAGGTGTGGTTAGTTTTTCTTTGTTTGGTAAAACTCTTGCCTTGATAAATGCATGTAATTCTCTTATAGATTACTTGGGTATTCACAAGCACTGGAACGAGGGATTTTGGAGCGATCAAACAGACCAAACTACAGGGCTGTTCTGGAGTATGATGGGGTTCTGTCACGGCGAGTTTCGAACAAGGTATGGACATGCAACCAATCTTTTGAAAAGAGCTGTCCGAATCTAGATACTGCACAGATGTCTCTACATTTAGCCTATTATGGATACTATTACTCCCTTTGTTCAAAATATGCATCTAAGCTGCATAATTAGGGTCCATAATATGTGAATTGTATCAAATTTGCACATATGAGAAAGGTCTGTCATCAGTAGCATATCTAGTCTATCTAGCTAATAAAAGCAAGAATGTTGTGCTTCTTAGGTATTTGTGCAGGACACACACACACATACATACGTACATATATATGTTTGGGTGTGGGTAGTAGTATTAAGGATAGTACTTATCGTAAATTCTGTTTGAGTCATGACAGTTCATTTGCAAAAGGAGATGCTTCATGGAGCAGTGGAACTGTAGTTTCTGTTAATCTTAATTGTTCTATAGCCATTATTTTTATTTGGCATACCTATTCTCTTTGCTTTTACTGTTTAATTAATAGAGAAGCACTTTCTCATACACATAAAATATAATAGATTGTCTCAAAGTTGACTGCCAAAATGTATACACTTACTCAGTGGAGATATATTTGCAAATAAAATAAGACTTGAATTTCATATGTTGTTACTACCTGATCCCCATACAATATGCTATTCATTTTTAATATATGGTGCATATTTTTTTCTTTCTTTTGAAAAAGGAATCTGCTAGAGCCAAGACAAGGGAGGAGCTTTTAGCTGAAGAACGAGATTATAAACGAAGAAGAACATCTTACCGTGGCAAGAAAGTGAATCGAAACCCTACAGAGGTGCATGTCAAAGTTCTAGATAATTTCAGCTGTTCTGATTATTGTACACATTTCAAACAATTACTATTTTGGATTTTTTTGCCTAGTTTTAGCTTCTTGTTTGATATTAGATCTAACATTGGAAATAGGACAACCTTTCACGTCATGTCAGGAGGCTAGAGTAATTTCTTATCAGTATCTGATCTGTAACTAATTATCCAGTTTAAAGTTGTTTCACTAAATTTCCTATACTGTTCATTTTGATATCATTTTTACTGCTGATGGAACAAGTAAAAAGCTTCTGTATATTGTACTGCCTCTTCTTTTGATTTTTGGAAGTTACTTGCCTTGATCAAGATATGAATCTGATGTCTTCCTTTCTCTATGAAGATACTAAGAGACATAATTGATGAGCATATGGATGAAATCAAACAGGCAGGAGGTATTGGTTATGTTGTGGAAGCTCCTGCTGATATTGCTTGGAATGTGTTTAAGTGCAATTCTCACAGCGGTGCATATCATGGAAGTTATGATTTTGCAAGCAGCTCCTCTCATGATGAGGAAGCTTTGGCTTCTCGGTCATCGCTGTGACAACCCACATCGTGCTGATTCTTTGGTAAGATTTTCATCAAGGAGCAGTGGCACAAGAGATTCATACAATAACTCAAGGTGTTAAACTCATGGAAACTGTTACCAGTAATATATCTGAGAAGGAAATGGGTGGAATATAGGATCAGAAAGTGAAATATATCAAATTTATCCTTACCAGCAAGAGAACCATAGACACTCCAATGATAATAGGAATTCTGGCTATAAGTTTAAGAAGGATGTCTCAAACCACCATCATGAATCAAATGATTGTACAACATGGCCAATACAGTCACAAAGATCACCTGTGACAGAATATTCTCACTTGCCAGGAAAAGGGTTCAGTGATAGAAGTAGAGCTAGTCAGAAGCGACATAAATCATTATCTATAACTCAAGACTAATTCAGTGATATAGATATGATCCACAAAGCGCAGATTCTGCTTGAGATCATTTGACAACCATGCTTGGTGATACTACTAAAGGAAAGCATGAGATATACCATGATGAAGTACATCGTCATGGACATTATGAAAGGAAGTGTGATCACAATCACTGAAGGGTAATACAGATTATTTTTGCTTTATATGCCAGGCATGCTTGTTAAATTATGTTGGGTTTTCTAAGTTTTTAGCAATTATTTTTACTCTACTATTTGATATGACCTTGCAGTAGCTAAATAATACATGGCTCTGTGGTATTAACCTTCAGCCGTATCCTTTTACGTATCCTTGTGCAGCTTTATAATGCCCCTTGCATTCCGAGTTAATATATGTTACAGTTATCTTCCTCAGGATCTGTTAGCTGTTAAAATTTTCTCTTGCTTTACAAATTCATTTACACTGATCCAGGTTCTTGCTGTGCTGATGTTTTAATCATTTCACTGCTAATGTTTTGGAAACACTTTCAGCTAGTATTCAAGTTTTTTTAAAAAATTATTCTGGATTTTTACCCATTATGAGCTGAAAAAGAAATTTCATCTGTCTGTTTGTTTTTATAGAACACAGAGAGTTCTATTTTCGGCAGCTCTATTTCTTTTTTATCTGTTCAGGTTTACCCTCACATGTGTTGGCCTGCTTTGTCACTCAAGGACGTATCACCACACCCCTCACACACACACACACACTCTAGAGGTTGAAGCATAAATATTAAGACTGGACCGGACTGGCAGTTGGACCAGTGAAAGACCGAATTAAGGCTGTACCTGCTTGGTTCACTTAAATGACTGTTCATGCAATTGAACCCCAAAAAACCTGTCACGTCCCTAGGGAAGTGACCTGATCCGATAGGAGTGGGAGGTTTCCGGCCGCTGGGCTGCCGGTTTTCTACCTTTGGTTGAAGCGATGTGAGAAGTGGAGGAGGTGAACCCCTTTGGTTGGGCTTCTCAACCTGCTGTGGCTTCAAAAAAAGCCGAAAGCCAATAAAGGGGTGCAAACTAGATTGAATCCTTGCCTGCCTTATTCCTGAACTGACTGAGGTATAAATATCCTGATTACATCAGCTAACGACTCACGTAGTCTTAAGCAACCTCCTAAAAAACTGAAACCAATCTAATGGATAAAAAACCAACTGTCCATGCACATGCACGCCGACTCCTGTGCTGGCCTTAGCCACGGGCCTGGCGCTGATAAGCTTTGCCAAGCATCTCTCCTGGGGAAGGGCTCGTCCTTGAGCTTGAATGTCGGGTGCACTTGAACTCCTTGACAGGTTCCCAGGTCGCCTCGCTTGAGCTAGCCGGCTACGCAGAACTTAGGGGTCGGCAGTACCCTGCCATGGAGCATTGGTGGCAGCGTCGGGGACTCCGCTGGAGGGGAGCCATGGAAGGCCTTGAGAACGCCCACATGGAACACATCATGGATGCATGCGCCGGCTGGAAGCAGGACACGGTAAGAGCTATAACAGGCTAGAAGCTAGCTAAATGTTGAGGTGAAGGAGAGAAGGGAGAAAAGAAAAGAGAGAAGTGTGTTGTAAGTTTATAGCTAGTTTAGGCACAAGAATCAAGAAACTATGTAAGAGAGATAAGCGGACCATGTATTAATAGTGAAGAGTTTACTGCTGTATGCGTGGACTGAGAGAAGGCCGCTGAGAGAAGGCGGTAAGAAACCTTACCAGACTCTAAGATACTGTACCAATGCGCTCTAGTACCTTGTAAGACCCATAAAAGCGTGGTGCCCCATCAAATCAGTTTCCAGACACCAAATACACGCCACTCACTCTTCCAGACAGCAATGCAGTGCCATTCTTATATTAATTACAGGCTTACAGCACAGAGGAAAAAAGCAGTGTCACCCATTCATAACAGAAACAGACGGAAGCACTCAAGCACCAAGCAAGATCGCATTCACCTCGCATGGCGCCAACCACAGCAAACAAGGAGAGGGGAGGGTCACAAGCCGACCACATGAAAAAACCAAAGCCGCATTCAAGTGCCAGGACACGGACACACGGTGGACGCATGCTGGTCGAGGAAACACACCAGCGCAGGCTCACAGTCTCGCGCTGGCCCAGCGTGCTCTGGCCGGCCGTCGCCGCCAGTGCCCGGACGGTGCCCCCACATGCGTCACGGGTGCCGTGGTGCGTACGTGCACCTCTCCAGCTGCGCACTCCCCCTACACGACCAACCGGAACGGATCCTAGGCGCAAAGAAGCTTTGGTTTCCGGGCCTCCTTTCCTTGTCGTCCTCCCTTCAGGCGGCTATCGCCGGCGGCGCCGCCCAGAGCTGGGCGTTCTTCACCTTGGACACGCTGTTGACCACGCCCAGCGGCGTCACGTCGCCGACCACCGTCACCTTCTTCGCTGCGAAGTCGATGTTGAACGACGTCACGCCTGTTTGCATTCACAGGCGCGCCCCATTTGTATTGGTTATCATCAGAACCAGAAAAGGGTTAGCTGTGATCTTGTTGTCTTTTAACTCTGAACAAAAGTTTCAGATCCTGAAGAAATACAGTAGCAGTCAGTCTCACCTTCCATCTTGGAGAGGTGCTTCTTCACTTTCCCGGCGCATGCTTTGCAGTGCAGGGATACCTTGAGCACAACCACCTGATAAGATGCCAATGCTGGAGCTCAGTTCATAGAAACACATGTTTTCTTAAGCGAATCTAGCAAGGAACATAACAACTAAACGAGACAAATGCGCAAGCTTGAAACCTAAGAGATGCCTTTGCTTATAATGGTAAAAAAATTTAGAGGTGCCATGATGTGAGACTCTGAAGTTCTGATACCAATACAAAATCTTTAACCAACTTTTCACAAAAAGCCTATCTGCCTGTAATCATGGTATTTGGATAACTTCACCTGGACGTTCCAGATATCAAATGAGAAAACATTGTATACAACCCTCAAAGCCCCCACACTGAAATGATTGTTGCTACTGATCACATAATCTCACTTCTGATTTTTCTATCATTTTCTAATCAAGAATAGTAGGGCCAAATGTTAAAAATAATAATACACAAGTTCTGCATGCTAGTCATAGCCAGTGTTCACTGTTCAGTAATGACCCACAAGACCACAGGTAAGTGGAGGATTGATTCCTCACCTGCTCTTGCGCCTGCGTGCTCTTCACATCAGCAGCTTCACTTGCTTCCTCCCGCTTGGCATCGACGGCCGGGGCCGGGGCAGACTCCACCACCTCCTGGATCTCCTCGGTGACGGTGGCGGCGAAGCGGCCGCTGCTCAGCAAGTACCTGGAAGAGCCGGCCGGGCTGACGAGGCCACCGGTGTTGTTCTCGACGACCACAGCCTTGTGCTGCTGCTGCCCTTTCTTGCTGTCGTGCCGGTGTGTCCTGGGCTCGGCAGGAACGTGAGCCAGGGGGCTGGGACTGGGACTAGCAATGGCCTTGTGTGACCGGACCATCGGCTGCCGCTCCAGGCTCGGGCATATCGCCGTGGCCGCCGGAGACGAGCACGAGAGCCCCTTCATGTCCCTGAACAGGAGAGGAGCCATGGCGCAGCAGCCGACTAGCTAGTGAGCCCTGGAAACAAAGCTGAGCTGTTGCTGCTTTGGCTGTGTTTGCTGAAATGGTGGTGGAATGGACTACGAGGGTAAGGAAATACACCTTATATATAAGAGAGCACCACTTTGCTTTACATGGCAGTGAAGAGTGAACTCTTCTCAAATCCATCCAAAAAAGTGATGGGTGAAAAAGGCCCTTCTCAAAAGTTCTGCTGGTGTTTTTCTCCCTGAAGAAATTCAGGGATGACATTGTAGTATCGAACAAAATAGTTCAGGGATGGTCTACAACAAACTGATAGTTTTTGGGCAAAACTACATGTTTCTTTTGGTCTTTTGTGCACAGGAAAGGCAGAGTTAGGCACACACCTTGTTCCCTGATGCTGAAATTTGACTTATGCTGATGTTTATGCTGAAATGTTGTGAGAGGAAAACACTATTTCATAGCTAAAAAGTAGTTCTAAATAAGTTCAAACGAACGGGACGAATATAATAGCAGGGGATCTCCGATATCTTTTCACCCGGAAGTGGTAGAGGTGTCACGATGATAAGTTAGCTTGGAGGAAACGACACGATTTTTTAACTGCATCATTTGCTGCCAGTGCCAGGCCACCGTGAAAGTCGTGACGTGTTTCAGATTTTCCGCCCACGTTGCTGTATGGTTCAGACGTCTGTATTTGCACCACAGAAAGGCCTTTCAGGAAATTAATATTGTAGTTAACGTTGATGTAACACGCAGTACTGAATTATTGATGCGATAGTCGGAGTAATAGAATTTCTGCGATTTGATTGAGTAATTCCCACCAAATTTGAATGCTGGATTGCCAGCACGGCTATATTTAACTCTTTGCATCGAGCATCAATTCATTGATCCTCTTAGCTCTTTTAGGAGGAACAGTACGTGAAAGTAAGAAACTATTCCTTCTCTTCTTCGTAGGGAAATAAAGAGATCAACCTGCGAACGCAATATACATAAATAATGTCCCGAATAATCCAGGGAATCTTCAAAAACGAATAGGGATGGTTCAGATAACGTTCACGTTTCAGGACAC